TATATCACACTACCTGTTTTTAATGAGGCTTTACTGACATCTTCTTATTAGCTTCTTTTTCTACACACTCAAGATATTTTACTCTTGCTTGCCTTTTTTATTCTATCGTCTTAATTTGCAGATAATGTATGATTATTAGTAAATCCTCCTTTTCTCCTGTTGGCTGCATTTTTTCTTCTCAAGTCTGCTTTTGCTTATTTCTCTACCCAAATCCAAATCCCAGAGGTGATACATAATGCTGTTATCACCTCCTTTTGCTAACAGTTCCCCTGTGCTTCATGGCACCAACCGTCTTCCTTACTAAAACTGTTTAAGTGAATAACATCATGAGCCTACACTAAGAAATTGTCCCCAGCTGGTATGCAGCACAGCTTGAAAACCTCTTTTATAAATTTCCATGGGGGCAGAACTCTGTAACAGGCTCCCTACCAACCTGCTTGCTTATAAATGGTGCCTTATAGCTTGTCTCCGTTTGAAGAAATGCATTTTCAGAATTGTTTGTACCAACTTGAGAAAACTGGAGGCGGCCAGCAGCTATTCAGTCCTTTAACATCTCTTTGGATTAATCCCTGAGAGGCCAAGGGGATCATCCCAAAGGCCAGTACTGTTCTTTTACAGAGGGATGGACAGCACTATGTGATCTTGAAGTGTCAAGTATTCAAAGTTCCTTGATACTCGGGGAGGAGAAAAACAAACAAACAAAAAACCTCCTAGGCTGTATGTAGTGCATTCCCAGCAAAACAGACCTCCACCAATGGTAAATTCAGTGCTTCTTCTTCCTAACAATCTGTGGCAGCTATAGCAGCAGCTATAACAGCATTTTTAAAGAACTGTACTGTGTTTAGTATCTTTGGCAGCTGTTTTATTTTCCTTACTATGTTTTGTTTAGCTGGGAAATCAAAATCAGGTAATCAAAATAGATTATTTTAACAATAATGCCTACGTGTATATCCTATTTTTCCGATTAGAGCAGCCAAATTTGTTTTCCTGCTTCTTAAGGAAGTAGGGATACCATTTCCCATCTGCTGACACCCAGAAAACCTGAGATGTTTCTGCAGACATCTGAGGAGTCCCCTTCAACCCAGCAAGCATGTTTTATTGCAAACTTAAGCATCTTTTTAATCAAAGAAATCCTTGACCTTCTAGGATTATTTTACCAGCTTTTTGATTGTATTGATTGTATTGATGTGTTTTTGGAAGAGTGTAAAATAATTAATATGAGCCCAGTGGGCTGAAAGACTCTCAACCACAATATAATACCTCAGTTGTCATAACACTCTTCTAGAAGCCTGCCATGCGTAGACCTGATCATGCAGCATTTTGGGTTTGTTTGTTGTTAATTTTTTATTCTTCAGTTTTCACAGAGCACCACCAAAATATACAGTAGGAAATCTGCAACAGAGATGTGGCTCACCAAGCATTTTTCAGCCACCTCTGACTTGTCTCTGCTGGGAAAGTCTGCTTTGTACTCATCTGCAAACGGGTTGTTCTTTTAAGGTGTTAGCATTGGCAGCCTCCATCAAGGATTTCTGTAAGGGAAAGAAAGTGTTATCTCTAGAGCTATTTTCATATTTGTCTATTGGATAGACTCCAGATTCAGCTTAATGAATTAGGAAGTCTGCTTAATATGAAATAATTAATGAGCAGCAGTAGGATAACAGTAAAAATGGAAATTCTCCAGTGGGATCAGCTTGATTTAAATCATCTACTGAAGAGAGAGTGAAATATGTTTCTATTTTTTAAGGTTTCTGAAAATAATGTGAAGAAAATCTGATCTGGAATCAGATAGTAGAGCCTCTACTAGATTAAGCATGGAAAATATGTTTTACATTATTCTGTTAAAAATATTTTTATTAATTTCAATTTTATTCACAATTGATTTCCATTTAGATAATCATTCAGTTTATTCGAATACTGTGTATGAATCTTTGTGTACAATAGACTTCTATAAAAATATATTCAGTTGGTCTGCATTCACATAAGTTTATATATCCAGCAACCTATATGTTAACACTTGAGGATTGCATGATCATCTTAAATTTGTTAAAATAAAGATCATCTTTGCAAACTTTATTCACTGTCTTTTTATATAAAGGCTTCAAAATTTTAATTATATCATTATATACTACCCATAGAACTCCCTTCTTATTTAGTCAAATCGGTATTCATGATTTCTTTTCATTCTTCTGATTTCAGGTAGCTTCAGTCTTCCCCTAATGTCTCTCTCTCAAATTCTGTCAATTCAAGCATAATTTTTTTTTCTTTTTTTTGTGTCTCTGCTTCCTTTGCTCTTCAAATTCTGTCAATTCAAGCATTTTTTTTTTCTTTTTTTGTGTCTCTGCTTCCTTTGCTCTTTAGCTGGCTTCTTTGCTGCCAGTCTGGGCAAGCTTGGTGCTCTGCTTTGTCCCTGTTCAGCTCACCCTCTGGCTTCTGTCCGTCACCCCTTCTGCCTTTCCCAAGCTCCCTGGTGGCTCTGCTGCTCTCTTCCCCAGCATTTGAGACACCAAGGCAACCCATATGGCCATTAATCTCCCTGTGCTCACTCACCAAGAGTCAGATTTTACTTTTAAAGAATAGCATCTCCATTTTACAAGGCCCACCTTTCATTGTCTATTACCATGTCACAGAGAGATCAGGGTTTATATGAACTTTATTAGATGCTGGAGAATTTAAAACCAATGCAGTCTTCATTGTATGTATGATGAAATGTTACTGCTGTAATCTGTTTCCTTTAAGTATAGCAATCGTAGTAGTTACATTGCAATACAATTCTCCTTGACTTTTAAAGGGGTAGTAAATTATGGTTTTACAATTTTCCTATTTTTTTCTTTTTGCTCTTTACTTTTATGAGATCCCTCCTTCTTGGAATGAGTCTGGCTATTTCATATCATGTAGTCAGATCAGTAGAGATCTTACTCATACTCTTTCTACAAAGAGAAGTAGTAAGAAATTGATTTTTATATTTGGTTAGGGTAAAAGTATTTGTATTTTCCTTGTAGAAGGCTTAAAAGACACTTAATCCTTTAGCTACACATAAGGCTGAGGCAAAAGCCAGGAAGGAAATCTTTCGGTAGGCTTTTTGATGTGAGCAGCTCAGTGGGAGATTCGGCACAGATGGTTTAAAGAGCTGTTGCAAGGGCTGAAATAGTCTCTGGACCTTCCAAAAGCTTTAATCCCTCAGGTCTATGACAGCTTGTAATTTCTACTGGGCTGAGCACACTGAGGGCTGCGAGGAGCTGCTGCTGGCTCAACTCCCATACTCCAGCCACTGGTGGATGTCACACTTCTACAAGGTGTATAATGTATCAACTGGAATAGATCCTATGGTATATTCACAGAATTACTATATGTTTGTTTTCCTGTCATAAGTTCATTTTCGTCAATAATGTCAAGAAAGGCTCAAAAACACATAATATGGGTTTTCTGTTAAAACAGTGTTACAATGGCTGAATTACTATAAAATGAGGAAAATGGGATTTTTACAATGTAGGCAATTTACAATTCAATTAAATTAGTACAATCAATTTAATTAAATTAATTGTATTAATTGTACTGTAAATTGTACAATTTACTAAAAATACAATGTACACTTTATTGAAATAAATTTCATTTTTGCATCTTCAATATCTTATACCGCCTACAGTAAGTTTATGTGTGTGTTTTGAATAGTCAACTTATCCTAGTTTTCACTTGCCTATGAAAGTAAACATGAGAAGACTTTGTTATTGGAATGAGTTAGAAAATATATATTCCTGTCTCCTTTCTAGAACCTTTCAGTTCCACCTTATGAAAAATACTATGATAGATACCGACAGAGTTCCTTTCTTATATTTGTTTTTTCCTCACCAGGTCATAAGTTTAATTGGTTTTGGTTTTTTTTTTTTTTTTGGTCAAATTGTTCAAAGCAAGCTTAATATACATTCAGCAAAGCTGTAGTTGCATTAATATATCTGAAATATTAACTATACAATTGAATCTGAGTTTGAATCTCTTGGAAAACCATTCAAATTCAAAGATATTTTAAGGAACTTTAGTGACTTGTTATTGTAAAACATGTATTAAAAGATGACCGGGGGGGAAATTTTGAAGTAAGAACTTAAAGAAACTGTACTATTTTTTTTTCTCTCATAAAGACAGAGATTAATGCTTCTCTCCAAAGCAACTTCAACTTTAGTGCATGTTAACATTGATCTTGTTCATCCTAGTGTCTTGTTACAACTCCTAGGTATAATGGATGGCCTGGGACCAGGCAAAGCCTCCTCACGCTGTAGTCAACTTTCTGGCCATCTCTGGGTCATGGGATGGCCCAAAAAGCTGCCTGTGCAACCCATGGACCCTCCACAGCTGGTCACACCGGGACCAGTCCTGGCTCCCTGACATGGTGATCTCACAGCCTTGCCATAGAGCAACACCCAATGAGCTGGCCTTGTTGCTGTAGTTTGAGCAATACCTACTCCTAGTTGGAAGCTGGGGGATGCCTTTATTATTCTGTGTCAGAATTGTCTGTTGTCTGTGTCACTTTGTCCATTGAGATATAAGAGGAAAAATAATAATGAGGAGAGGACAGCAGAGACTTACATTGTTATTTAAGAACTAATTGCATATGCAGAAAGATTTATTGAAGATTATGACAGAGTATCTTTTCTATAATAGAGTGGCACTTCACTGATGGATGTAACGTTGCTCAGGAAATGTGTCAGATTCCTGCTTCTCTTTACTCTTTCTCTTTGCTACTTTATCTGCATAAAAAAAAGAGATAATTAACTCATTTTCAAGTTATCTGCACAGATTGTTCTCTTACATATAGAGATTAATTTTTATATTTTATTAAATTAAATGGCCCTACAATTTTGTATCAGTGCTAGCTTATTCCAACTTCTGTCCTCAGCTTGAGTTATCATTATAGCACATCAGCATTTAAAGTGACTCTAGAGTAGAAACTTTGATGCTTAGAGGGTCTCAATGTTCAGAGTCAAATAACTTTTGCTGTTCTTATACAGGATTGATATCTTCAAGTATGTGATATATGGTGTAGCAGCTGCATTCTTTGTATATGGCATTTTGCTGATGGTGGAAGGATTCTTTACAACCGGTGCCATCAAGGATCTCTATGGAGACTTCAAAATCACCACTTGCGGCAGATGTGTCAGTGCCTGGGTAAGCTAATAAGGCAGCCTGCATATTTAAGGCAATTTCACATGTTTTATATATTTGTGGTATTATAGTGCTTATTCTTGGTTTTGTTTCTTTGATATTTTCTGATAGATCACTTCAGTGGTTAAAAATTCCAGCAAAGATTTAAATACAGGTTTCTTATATTGATAGTGTTTACTATTTGGGCTTGTAATTATTTTAAGATTTCTGAGGGGGTCTGTTCAATATCAGATAAAAACTTATTTTTGGGGAGTTTGATTTTTCCTTTTCTTTGGTGAGAGTGGTTTTGTCACTTGGTACCTGTTGCAGCAGGATATTTCTGAAAACGCCATCAGCATCAACAAGTTATATTTTTCTAATGAAAAACAAAATACCAAGCATATGCAACTAACTCAGGATATCAAGCTACACTAAGTCATAGACAATAAGTAACATATTAAATATTAACCACAGGAAGGTTTTATACTGTACCTGATCTCAAATGTCAGTATTTATTAACTAGATAATGGGCTAGGAACAAATATAAGCAACAGTGAATACCCTCAATGATACTAAAAGCTAACAAAATTTATCTTTTGAAATGTCTGATATTAAAACTGGGCATAGATAAACGACACATTGGAAACTAAGAAATTTAGCATGTATGTCACCCCTACACAGTGTTATAAGCTCCATGGTAATGCTGCTTTCTCTCTCTCTTTTTTTTTTTCCTGTTGAATGGTATTGTAAGATATTGACTCTTTAAGAATTGTTTTAAAGCATTTACATGAATATATGAGCAAAAATTCCAGACATTTTAAATGAAGAAAAATTATTGCATATTTATGCCAACACTACCTGCTTTCATCTTTGGAAAAATAACGTTTGATCTTTTATGCTTTGAATCTATGTAGCTAGTTCAAATTCTGCACAGAATGGAAAACCTACAAAAATTAAGTTGTTCTAAATTTCCCTAAATGATTTTCCTTAGTACAATGAGCGATGCTTTATCCGCCCACAGTTTTGATGCCTTTGTAATAAGAGCTGTAATTCCATAGTCTGTACCTAGAGGAAATGAATAGTTAAACATCTATCCTATGATTAATATCATTGCTATGATTAATGATTCATAATATGAATTCTTTCAGCATGTTACTTGCCTAGTCAGTAATTTGTATTGTTTGTGTTTTACTTCATATAAACGCTGTATGGTTAAGATTAAGGCCAAGTATTGTTTGTGACCAAAACACATATAAGCCGTAAATAGATCTGAGTTGAATACCTTACTATAGTTACTATGGAAATCAGTGGATGTTCTTCTTTACCATAGCCAGAGAAGCCTGCCCGTTCTTTCTGCTGTTTGACTGCTGGTCTGATACTAGTGATATAATCTTAAAATCACTAGGAATACTATGCAAATGACTGCAGCTATTTTTAGTTGTTATTCTGGACTAACAATTTGGGAGTAAGGCAATTATAGTATTTTGTCATTTAAAACTTGTGATTCCCTTCTTGTACAAATTTCTTTTGATTAGCTCAGTCTTAAAACTCTTAAGAGAAAAGTAGCTTTCTCTATTTGAAAACCACATCTGGAAATAGAAGACTTCAGTTCAGCCTGAATGCTATTATTATTTATTCAGTTCATTATGTCATGCAGTAGTATGTAGAGATAAATTCTAAGAACAACAGACAGATTACTAGAGATATAACTCAAATATAATGGGTGCCTATGTGTCTAGCATGGATGGTTTTACTGTTACGTAAAACTAGTGTAAGAAACTTTTTAATGTAGCAGGTTGCCATACTAAGATAATGCTATTGAAGAGGACTTCCACAGCCTACATGCTGCAAGCAAGCTTCCTCATATAAGACCTTTTTCAAAAATATATATATATAAATTTTAAATCTAAGTCCTCAAAGACTTTAAAACAAAAGCCTTAAACTTCTTTTACTAGTAACTTAATTCTGGTTGAAATATGTACAACCAACATGTCTTTTTGAAGAATTAAAATCACAAAAATGGCTCTACATCCAGAAAAACCTATGTAAAAATCTAAATTTATCTGTTATTTCACATCAAATTTGCTGAAGTCATTAACAAATGTGACTCTGTAAATAGCATTTTAACATGTGGAGGTCTGAAAATGAAAACAAGTTCTTTTTGCTTTATCATTTTTGTCTATTATTTGTCATGCCTATCATTAAACATAGTAGGAAAATGAAGACCATTGAATGGAAAATTTCAAGGAGGAAAAGCTCATACTAACTGTGTATAGAAAAGGTAGACTTATCACTGAAAAATAACAACTATGCCAATGCTGCCCTGGGAAGTTCCCACAAGAACTCAGAGGGCTGGTGTCAGTGGCAATGAAGAGTCTCACTGAGACTTTCAGAAGGAATATGCAGTGAGAAGTAGTAAAACTAAAGCAGTGTAACGATGTTAGTCGCATTGAGATAAGGATAGCTGTGTTTTTAGTATTTTACGATGCCTGAATATGCCTTCAGAGAATTAAAGAAGCAGTTATAGATAACTGTGGCATAACACAGTTAGTAAAAAAAAAAAAAAAGTGAGACAGGCCTGAAGCCAACTGTGACACTGTTTGTGTATTTGAAATTTAATAACCGTCCTATTTATATTCTCTACCTTGATCATGGAAAGCCTAATTTCTGTCTTAGAATGTCTGTTTACAAAGTCAATAAAAAATGAATAAAGATCCACAACTGAGGCTTTTCTTCCTTTACAAGTCTTAGTCTTATGAAAATTTTATGGAAAGATGAAAAACCAGTTCATTTTTTTTCTGATCAGAAAGCATTAGATAAAGATTTCGTCGTGGCTGTGGTGCTTCTATCTCTTTGTATCTCTCAGCTTTGAAAAGCTTGTTAAGCATGTTAAGCATGTTAGGGCTCTACAGAAGGATGCTGAATCTACTGGGTTGGACTGATTTTATCTGTTGTCTTTTAGATGCATTAGGTCATTTCCAGTGTTGCCATTTATGAGAAGAGTGTGTCTGCGCAGCCCGGGCAGATTTCATTTAAGAGTAGAAGTGGCTGTAGGAGTTTATTGTATGCTTTTAAATAGTTTATGTTCACTATTTTATACTGCTACTGCTTGATATTTGTGAGATAACTACTGGCCATTATCAATTTAAAGTAACCTAATGTATAAGATAGAAGACCTACTTCCTTTAGAGCTAATTCATTATACACTACTGAAAAATTCTATTTCTACACAGCTTTCCTTTTAACGGCATTAAATATTAATGAGGTATATCTTTGTTTTGAATGCAATCTTGGATTGCCTTACACTTTGGTTTAGATAGGAAAAAGTTATTAGTATTTAGCTGTCTTAGAAAGATGTGTTAGTAAGATCATGCTTTTTAATTTCTCCAGTATAAGCAAGCAATTTTTATGATCCTAAATAGTCAAGCTGAACTTTCATTCTAAGAGGTTTTATTGTTTTTTCTTTTTCTTTTTTTCTGTATCTTTTCCTTTTTTTTCATCTTAGGTGCTGAAATCATTTTCTCTAGTTTTAAATATTGTCATGTTGGCATATTTTCTGCGGTGTGTAATCCATCTTGGATGTCTCCAAAAATTTGATTTACTCTACTAATAATTATTTACTCACTGATGATCTTATTTTTTGACAAAATAGTAATTGTATTTTTGTTTTCTAAGTATATTCATGATTCTCCTTTTGGTTTTATTTTTCCTTTTTAAAAAAGGCTACTAAGAATCATGCTTTTTAATGTAATTCTCTTTTTGAATAATTCTTTTTTTTTTCCTCATAAGGAAAATATTTCAATATTATACCACATATATTATACCATCCTTGACATTTGCTGAGAAATATACTCTCAACTTTCATCCTAGCTTTGTGTGTGTAAGAAAATACAATAGAGTCAATATTATACCACAGTAATATCATCCTTGACATTTGCTGAGAAACATACTCTCAACTTTCATCCTAGTTTTGTGTGTGTAAGAAAATACAATAGA